GCCATCACTTCGAACCTCAAAGATTGGGACCTGCGATCCAGTCAGAACGACCGGTTTGCCCAGATTCTCTAGCATGAAACTGAGTGCGGATGCCGTATATGCCAAAGTGTCTGTTCCGTGCAGAACGACAAACCCGTCAAATAGATCGTAGTAGCTTTGAATATCACGTGCGATACGAACCCAGTCGTCCATCGTCATATCTGATGAATCAAGTAACGGGGTATACTCGGCAATCGAGTAGAAAATTCGACGATTTTTAGTTAATGGTAGCACAAATGTTGTGTTCGATGGTGTGGCAGAGGCATCCAACCCAGCTTGCGCCACATTGTCCAACTGTATGAGGGATTGTGAGGAGGCTCGAGGAACGGAATTACGCTGGCGCGATCGTTCGAAGCTGCGAGCAAGAAAGAAGGTGCAAAATGAGTAATGTCTGAGTGGGACGTCATGTAATTTTTTCTAACACTTACAACCCCATAACATAGGGATGAATGAAATGAGTAGTGTGGTTCAACAAAATGATATGCAAATGTTTCCTCGTGTTGCTTGACTGATATACACGTAGCTGATGACGGGGTAGGTTGCGTCACCAAGTGAGCACTCTATGATTGTTTATCATTACGTTTCACAAAGCCTAATACAGCGATCGAGCTCATGTGACAGGCGAATGACAAGAAGTGTGGAGGAAAAGAGAAAATGAGAGGGAACTCAAAAGGTGGAAATTAGGACGTACATCCACCACCGGCAACGACTCTGAGAACTGTGTGACAATGTTTTTAGTCACTAGAGAAGGCCATCATTAGATCCACACCGAGGAAACTGAAAAGGATTAAATCAAGTCAATGGAATTTGAGAACTGTTATCCCTGATAATCACTTTGGACGCCAACAAACGGCACACACGACATCACATAGATAGGGAAGTAAAAACCCAAACAGTAGACAGCACAAAGTGTGCCTGACACAGGAATGAAGTCGAACTTACAGCTTCAATTTGTTTATTTCTATACTATTTCAGTGTAAAAGGAGGCAGCTCACTTAGCTGCTAGAAGATGGTGTGTGTGGAAAGATTCAAAAGGAAACTAAAACTTAATTAAGAAGTAATCGAAAATAAACAGCTTCAGACAAAAATGACATTCTGACATAGAAAAACGGCAACGGAAGCGTACATTTCAATGACGATGTGTGGTAGTCCATCAGCACCAGATGGTCTGCATATGTTTAAAGGGCGCAAAGCATGGCCGATCTTATTGCTTGCCAGTAGACAAAGAAGCCGGAAGTGTATACTAATCGGGTAAGGTGGAGCTGGAGGTAGACTGGGAAGCAAAATCCTTTGCTTACTCGTGTGGCTCATACACAAGATCACAAGACGAATTCCAGATGACAAGAAATAAGGTCAGAAACCGCGGGAGACCGCTTTGATGAGACCACAATGTTAGACTACCGCCGGTGGACAAGACCTAATTTTCAACTTTACAGAAAAGGAAGGGTTTTTGATTCTCCGTTTATTCATAGAACAGCTGTTTCTAGCTTGCACAAAGCGATGGTGGAAACCGAGACTAGGCAAGCGGTGACAACAGAGGAAGACTAAGCGCATTAGGCCTACAACGTCATCACATGCGTGGTTAAACCACCAGGGAGATTCGGATCTACCAAATTTTTAACTTACTAATATCTTGCCTTTCACACTGTCTATGTTTCTGAAGCATAAAGCGTCACAGCCCCGAGGATACCGCTGTAAAAACAATATCTTTGGCATCAAATGTGGTACAGATTTACAAGCGCTGTTCATGTACTGATCATTCGGATAGCCACTTCCTGCTGCATATCATTACGAGAGATGTAACGCTCCAAACAGAAGAAACCATAAACGACATCTAGTGGTTCAACGCAAGGATTACAGCCTAGGATCTGATCTAGTTAGTTAAAATCCACGACGCTGCACCTTCCGTGAGGGGGAGGGCGGCAATAAGTATGCCGAAATGGCGGATGGGTTTGTCTAGTTTGTTCAGAAAGCTTTGCGCAACAGATTCCAAGTTGAAGAGCAGCACAAATTCCTTCGATGTGATTTGAGTCTTGTTTGTTATCTTTTCGTATTACCTCGATGCGCTTTCCCGCTGATATACCGGGAGAACAGTCATCAGGATTTGGTCAACTGCGACATGGAACAGGAAAGGAGATCAAGGATAATCCTATCGGACATTATTAGATATCAAGGACTGGCGACCTCTCGCTGTATGCCTTTATTCGTCCGAGTGCAAATGTAAGTACTGATCATAAGATACTGACACACCTTTGAGGCACATCAGTTTGCGGTAAACAATTTCACTGAAAATAATTGACGGAACCAAAAGCAGCAACAATATCCGAAAAAACCGGGATAGTCTATTTTCTGTTAAAACTGTTGCTTTTTCAATGGCTGGCCCTAACGTGAACAGATCGGCGATGCAAACCCTTGCCAGAACAAAAGTCGGTTTGCTGGTTATGAATAGGTGTAAGAGTGTGAAACACGGAAGGATGACAGATGGCAACATTGGGATAAAACTAACGCGTCCGTGATTGAGGTCAGCTGTGATAAGATCGATACCCCTTTGTGTAACCAGGTAACAGTGGCTGGACTCCACTCCCTACATAGCTTCTCAGGGATGCAGCCGTTTTGCACAAAACCGTTAGTTGATCTCCTAGTTTCAGGCCTTCGTCTTTGAGAAGGCCATTTGAGGATAGGACATACACGGGAAACAGGAAAAGAACTAGTGCATTTTAGCCTCACACCTGTGTCACCACTCTACCTATAAGCCAGTTGGAGAAAACGAGCGATAGTTCAGACCCTTTTGATGTTCCAACTCGCTCCAGACAGAATCAAGTGTCCTGCGGGCGAAAATACGTTTGCTGGTAATAACGTAAGTTTCAGAACGTCACATATATGGGAGTTTGAGGGTCTGCAGCGGGCTATGCAAATTGTTCCAAACCAGAAGTGGTGTTTGCCAATGGTGCTCTATTTCGTCATTACCATTCAATTTCGTCTTGGACGAAATACTGGAGAACGAACTAAGTGGTCCCGTTAATGTTGATATTGAATGGACAATGTGACAGTGTTTGGTCAGTTCTGCTTTATGGTTGCGATACCCTTCATTTGCGTGTGGAAGATATTTATCGTCTAAAAGTCTTCGACTGCCATTGTTTATGTAGTTTGGCACAGGTTGGATGGAGTAAGCTTGCAAGCAACTCTGAGTTAAGCCGTCGCGTATTTAGTAATGATTCGGTGGGAAATTCGTTATCGTATAGAATTCAGATCAGTAGGCTTCGCTGGTTAGGGCATGTATTGCGCATACCCAGTTATCGTCTACCGCACCACGCATTATTCGCAGTCGCGGCTCCAGGTTAGAAGAAACCACGTGGAGGTCTACAGAAAGTGGAAACGAGGCATAAAGAAATTCACAGAGCGATTAGGTAAAGTAGGTGTATTTCAGGTTGGGATCCGAAAGACTCAGCAACTGGGGGGTTGAAGACACCGAAGGTCACGACAACGGAACCGACAGCACGATGCGTTCTTGTTGTGAATTGTTATCCGGTCACTTTATTTTCCGCCCTCCAATTAGGCCCAAACCCTAGTAATGAAGATGATGCCAACTTAATTTTTACCGCATGATGTTGATGTGTTCCGAAGTTCGGTGTTCCAGGGGTGGAGTCGATGCGATTTTCACGAGGCACAGGCAACGAACACGTTTGCTCTTTTCTAATCTGTCTAGTTGTAGAAAATAATTGCCGAATTTTGATTTTCCAGAGAAGCACTAATTTTGGAATGCATTTGAAAAGTAATAACCTGCATTTAAGCAGGTTCTTTCCATTTGGATCATGTTCGATTGATACTTTCATCTTTCACCTCTGTGTTCTGCTCCCTTCTCAACTCCAAACTGATGTCCCCTCCCTTCGTTGATGAAGAAAATGCAACGAGATATTCTGACTGGATAGTTACTTTGGTGAAGGAGTCGATAACAGGTAGGGCCAAAATTGATTCTCTTGTTGACACTTGGAAGTTAGTTGATTGGGTAATTTCTTGACGTCAGCCTTAGCTGACCATATTTCCAATTAATTCACAGAAATACCATTACGATGTTTTAACTCTTGTAATTGCATTTTCAAGACAAAACGAGATTATTCAAAGATTTTTAGCTACAGGTAACCGGACCACAGTAACCGAATGGTATAAAACAACAGCACAGACCAGTTTAGGTCGTGTGTTGGAGTCCCATTGACATCACCTTACTGACAGCGCTGAACTGCTCGCGAGTAAATGACCGAACGAGTGTAATTGTGCTACATATGTCAAATACAAGGTAATAAAATATTCCTCATTGACCTATTTTTAAACCATCACAACTTAGGGCTCGGGCGGGGAAGTAATGCAAAATGTTTACTGCCGCATGTGGATCAATTATTCTATCAAAACATTCATATATAGTGCAACTCACTGCGGATCGTTAAACGTAGGCATTTTCAACAATGATTTGACGAGATAGTTTGGAACTGGTTGATAGGCTCCATCGATCGCGCGCATGCCGATTGTGCCACCCGTGTACAGGACGAGAACAGATGCGACTGACGTACAGCTGGTATCTTGTAAGGCAGCATCCAAGAGATACGGAGCAATCGATGGATAGGAAAGACAACTAGCCTATTCCGAGATGAGGGGGAATAAAAGTCAATGGAAAATGCAGTATGAACACAGATTTCTGCAGCTTTAATGCATGATAATTAGCTGTCTGACAAACACCCTTTTGGTTAGTATCAACTGAAACCATCGTTTTTGCCATCGGTGGGGATAAAAACTGAACTCGTACGATAGATTACAGAAACGGATCAACAAAAAGGAAATTTAGAGAATATTACAACTCCATCAACTTCTGATAAGATTGCAACTATGAAGACAAATCACGATAGAGAGGAAATTGCGAATACAATTTAAGCGCACAAAACTCAACTGGGTTCGACTTACCACATCTAAAAATGAAAGTAGAATGATGGGTAAAACTCTTCTAGTAAAGACTAACTAACACTTTGCTCTTATACATTTGTGTGGTGTTCGAGTCTGTCGAAAGGAACCGTTTTTAGGTACAGAGTGCCTGGGAAGTGCGTCGATACACAAAGAGTTATGTCGTCATAAACCAACTTTCGCCACCCTCTTCGTTCTCTAGTGGATTTTGACAAGATTGCTCTATATCCCCATTCCTTATAAAATTGATCATAGAAGATGTTCTACAGAATGCTTTTACTGGTTTGGCAAACGGTAGAGCAGAACTCCTCCCAGGGAACAAATTTCGTGAATTAGAATGAGGCTGATGACGCCGTGTTGGGTGACAACATGCTTCCAACACGCTTTAAACAGCTTGTAGGTCAATGTATCGATGTATTGTATTTGCTTTGCACCATCCACGCGCAAAACGTTTGGTCAAGACTGGTGGGAGTCTGTTCTGGCACTCACCCTCGCTGGTGATCACCTGGAAATGATTGAGAGCTCGAAGTACCTCGGGAACCTGATTGCAGCTGGAGATGGCGTTGGGAACGAGATCACATCACGGATAACGAAAGTTAGAGCAGATGTTGCCAACCCGCGACACTTGTGATGCCACCATGGCATCCAACTGTCCCCAAAGGGAAGGCTGTACATAACCGCGGTTCGTAGTGTTCTGCTTTACGGTTACGAGACCTGAACTCTCCGCGTTGAGGATGGTAATCGATTTTCTGTATTCGACCACCAATGTCTCCGAAGCATTGCTCGTGTCTGGTGGGAACATCGAGTGAGCAATGATGAGGTTCATCGTCTTGTGTTGCCTGCCCATAGTCAACCTCAAAAAGAAGTACTCGTTCTTCATCGCTTTCAACGACTTGGTAGCGTTTTGTGTGTGCCTGACCATCTAATGCACGATGCAGTCTAGGGTTACCATAGTGAATAGGGTGCAAGCGGTTTGAAATTAGAAACGGTAGCGGTCAACCTTCAACAAAACTCATGCACACATAGCGCCTGAAATGATTAGGTAATACACCATCACAAACTTGGTTGGATCTTATCTATATGTGGTGGTGGCGGTGGTAGGGGCAACTCACTTTGGTACACTCGTCAATTTTGCACATACACCAAGCTAGAACTGACTCGTCATGACTATTGTTTCCGTTCACAAGATCATTGATCTTCGACATTATCTGAATGAGACAAAAAAAAGAACAATATTTGCATAATCATTTCTATGAATGTAGGAGAATACGCACTGATCCTTCAAATTAAAACAAACCAAAAACTTGAGAAAAGACTACGAGAAACAGCAGGACATTAAATGTAAAGACGTGGAAAAGGCTATATACAGTGTTGACAACTACAATGTCTTCTGACCTTTCAAAAGAAGCAGACTTTCAATACTTCACTTAAGCGATATTATTAGTGTCCCATGATACACTGAGCCCCAGAAACGCTTCCTGTAATGCAGGTCCGAGCAGTAGAGCGTAGGCAAACCATGAACACACGTTTTGACGTTTAATCCCAGCACATAATTATTATCTGCTGACATCAGTTCTCTGTCGAAAACGAAGATAAACTGCTTTAAAATCGATGGTCCGTTCATCATCACCAGTGAAGTGAACTCCACCAATCACTGCCACGCTCACAATAAACACTAAATGATAATTGATAATCATTCTGTGCATTTCTTCATGCCTCGTTTCCACGTCATCGGTAGACCTTCATGTGGTTTCTTCTACTTAGAGCCGCAACTGCAAATAATGCCTAGTGCGGTAAACGATAATCGGGTATGCGCGATACGTGTCCTAATCAGCGAAGCCTACTGACTTGGAAATGCGGGTAGTTACTCCCTTGACTACGCTACTGTCATTTGTCACGCAATCATGTAATTAGGAGAGACATTTCACCATAGCTAATTCTTGACAGTCAAGCATCAGCGCCGGGGTAGACGACCCAATCCTGTAGCATCAATTTGCACTTTGAAGGTGCAAGCGCATATCAAATGGAGGTACAGAACTTAAAAGATTGTCAA